ACGCCCCACCACCCCCGCCATGCCCTACTGCACCCCACCATGCCCCATCACACCCTACCACACCCCACTGTACCTCACCACACCCCACCATGCCCACCATGCCCCACCATGCCCCCACCATGCCCGCCACGCCCCATGCCCACCACACCCCACCATGCCCCACTGTGCCCCACCATGCCCCATTCTGCCAGCTTGGCTGACGGCACCCTCTGCTCCACCTGCCCCCTGGGGGAGTCCCACGGCCGCCCACGCACTCACACTCGCACTCATAGTGGAAGTCACAGGGCTGGCTCGGGTCCGATACTTTGATGGGCAGGTGCTTGTTCACGCAGGTGACATTGGCCACGGGCTTTGGGTCCAGCAGGGCGACACGGTTGTCACCCACGCACCTGGCCACCGTGCAGTTCTCCAGGATCCAGGTCTCATTCACCTGCAGCCGGGAACATGCACGTCCTCACCTGGACCGGCTCACGGGACCCATCCCTTGCCCATCCCACCCCTCGTGGCCCACAGCCCCAGGTGGCCACAAGAGCCTGCCTGCGGAGGGCGGCCCCCATGCTAGCCTGGCCCCCAGACCCTGTGTGCCTCCACCAGCTGGAGCTACTGGCGGGGGGTCACTGAGTTGGGCCTCAGGGGCTGGGCACTGGCTGTGCCTCCAGCCGACCCAGACCCTGTGCACACAGCAGGGAAGATAGAGGGCAGGCGGGGCCCACCTGCCGGGGAGGGATGGCATTGTCACAGCCAGGGGCAGGGGAGGGCGAGGGCAGCAGGGTGGAGGACGCTGGTGGTGGGGAGGTGGGGCAGGTGCCCTGGAAGCGGTCGAGGTCACAGTGCTGGTTGCACACAGCATAGAATTGGCAGCCGGCTCGGTCTGTCCTATTGTAGATTACTTCCCCTGTGAAGAACAACACCGTAGGAAGATAAGCCACTCCCAGCAACCAGCAAGCCAGAGTCCTGGGGGAGTGAAGGCAGAGGCCACGCAGAAGGGAGCAGCTGCTCCAGGGAGGGACCATGGAGGGCAGAGACTGAGTGTGGCCAGTGGGGACCGGGCGTGGCCAGGGGGAGCCAAGTGAGGCCAGTGGGGAACAAGCATGGCTGGCAGGGAGAAAGCAACTGGCTCCCAGGACAAGCAGACCCAGGTTAGCATAGCGTGTGGGGAAAGGCTACAGGAGCGTTATCCACGTCCACTCACCAGGTGAGAAGAACTGTCCAAATGCCCTGCAGAAGCAGGGAGTAGAGAAGTGGGAGCTGGGGAAGTGAGTGGGTCTGAGGGTGGTGAGGACTGAGGAGGACACAGTGGACACGCTGAAGGCTGGCAGGCTGCTGGGGCGCACTGCGGGGGTGTGGGTGGTCCCCAGGGTGGACGAGCTGGGAACCGTGGAGCCAGTGGCTGTGGGCCTGGTGGCCATGGTGGTCAGCACTTTGGGGGTGCCAGCTGTTCCCACAGTGGAGGAGGGGATGGCAGTAGACCTAGTGGCCATGGTCGTGGTTGCTGTAGTGGTCTGCACTGGAAGGGTGCCTGCAGTCCCTGGGCTGGAGAAAGGGGTGGCTGAGGAGCTGGGCGCTGTGGGTATGGTGGCTGTGGAGCCAGTGGCCTCAGTCGGGGTGGCTAGAGTGGTCGGCTCTGTGAGGATCCAGGTCGTCCCCGGAGTGGAGGAGGGGGTTGCTTTGGAGCTGGTGGCTGTGGGTGTGGTGGCTGTGATGGTCAACACTTTGGGAGGGTACGTTGTTCCCGGGGTGGAGGTCAGGGTGGCTGTGGAGCCCGAGGCCATGGTTGTGATGGCTGTAGTGGTCAGCTCTGTGAGGAACCAAGTTGACGCCGGAGGGGAGGAGGGCGTGGCTGTGGAGCTGGTGGCCACACTTATGGTGGCAGTGGTGGTTGGTTCTGTGTGGATCCCGGTTGTTCCCAGAGTAGAGGAGGGTATGGCCGTGGAGCCTGTGGCCACTGTTGTGATGGCTGTAGTGGTCGGCTCTGTGAGGATCCCGGTCGTCCCCAGAGTGGAGGAGGGCGTGGCCATGGAGCTGGTGGCCACTGTTGTAATGGTTGTAGTGG